TCTGAAATTCTGAAATATATACATGCATGTGTGTGTATTTATATATACATAATAAATATACACAGCACACATACATATATGTAAACAAACACTTTTATTTTGGACGCGATTAATCACGATTAATCGTTTGACAGCACTAGTTCATATATAGAAAAATCTGAATGAAACTAGGTCCTTTTACTAATGTGTATTATGTAGAGACGGATGTCACATCACAGACTATTAGGTGAGTTTCACCCACAGCAGATGTTAAGGCTTTCACACAGCAGAAATAAACATGACAACGGCCAGTAAAAAGCATGCCGCTTATAAGTCTGCATGTTCTGTGCGTCTATGTTTAAATGAGTGGCGTAGTTTCGTCTATACTACTACGCAAACTCAAACAAACGTGAAGCTCAGTGATTTCAGCATCTGTGTCTCACTAAATGAGGACATGAACACATCTCTAGAGCCTCTCCGAGAGTCACTTCAGAGCTTTTCACCGTTTCAGTTGAAACACTTGACAACAAACATGACGAAATTTTAACATAAACATAATACTATGATGTACTTCTCAAAGTAATAATACTATTACTGATATTTTTTCATCCATGTTTTTATATCAAACATAAGGTTTTGTCGTGCAGCATCTTATTTGACAAAAAAAAAATATATACAATGCAATGTTTCGTTGGAAAGTAATTATATATTATCTTATATTTTAAGATTTTTTTTAAAAGTTGGATTAAACTGCTAAAGTTTTATTAATGCATTTCATTTGACAATTTTTATTATAAATTTGTATTATAAAATACAAAATAAATAAAATGGATTTCATGGGGCCCTAAATTAAAAGGTGGCTTAAAAAAAAAAGTTGTGTTTACATTCATTCTCAAGGTCTAACAAACACGTGCAAAGCATTTCCTTCCATATTAATAGTGTTACGACCCTGTCTAGGGTAAGGCCGCAACATAAACTGACGTTAACAATCAAAGATCCTTTATACATTTAATTTACAGAACCATGAGTGAAAGCACAACTTCAGAGGTGAGCAAAGGCCAAAACAACAAACAAAACACCAAGCTAGCTCCTAACAGAAGACTAAATTCCCTAACAAAAGAAAAACAAAATAAAAATACAACACGTTACCCTAACTCCCTATCTAATGAAAAACAGGAGAAAACAATATTTACAAAAGAAAATGGCACTCACCCCCTACAGCTTCCAAGTGTGGAAAAGAGTATTTACAATACTTTACAAAATATACAAAATGGAAATGAGATTGACAACAACTTATCAACTCAAAACCAAAATTCACACTGCACACAACAGGCAGATCAACAGGCAAGCTAACAGCGACAACACACTGTAGCAAACACACAATAGCACATGTGCAATGGAACAACAGGAAATCACAAGTTGATCAGAGCTCCCTCCTCAGGCACAACAGATCCTTTTATTGCTGTTCCTTGGTCCCATTAGCACCAATCAGATCTGGACATCACTTTGGTAGTATCCAATCCTGTGAAAGAAAGGATGACAAAAGAGAAAGAAAGAGAGAGAGAGAAACAGCAAAGCAAGACACATACACAATATGTCTCAAGACGTAACAATAGTAAATGAATATTGTGATAAATATTGATATAGTATGATATGGAAAAAAATATTGTCATAATATTTCTGGCCATATCGCCCAGCCCTAATTTGAAAATTTGTCATGAAAAGTACTGAAAAAAGAGAATAAGAAAAAATAAAATAAAATAAAATACAGATTCAGTAATTAAAATTGCACATATTACATATAAACAAGTCTCAATAAAATGAAAAACAGAATAAATAAAATTAAACATGTTTATTTGTGCATTAATGGAATAAAGCAGCTGTCAGCTGTGATAGAACAGGGCATAAATTGGGCTAGTTTTAGTTTTTTTGGAGTGGGTTTTGAGTAAGCTTTGGGCTGGAAATTTTTCTTGGACCTGACAACCCTGAACACATCAACATTCAGCCGCTAATGGCTGACACATGATCACGAGTCAAAAGCAAATAGAAATGACAATCACTGCTGCTATATTGTATCTTGTCTACACTGGATACAGAATATAGATGTGCATTCGCTTTCTGACACAGTCCACTCGCTCAAGTTTGTCATTAATACAAATGGAGTGAAAGAACGTTCGCTTTGACGCGTTTGGTTTAAACAGAAGGTTTCCCAGCGTAAGGAACAAGTGGATAGTTTATTTTTAATGACACCCCGGCTTGTGTCAGAAGATTGATCTGAGCATTTTGTTTTGTAAATGAGGCACAGTGTCATGGAGAGTCACAAAGAAACATTTGTTGAAAGATGAAGTGGTCCTATATCTGTTCACCCAAAAATGAAAATTAGCTCATTACTTACTCACCCTCAAGCCATCCTAGGCGTATATGGCTTCCTTCTTTCAGATGAATCCAGCCTGAGTTATATTAAAGATGGTCTTTGATCTTCCAAGCTGTTTAATGGCAGTCAGCGGGTGTTGCAGTTCATCAGTCCAAAAGAAGTTAAATAAAGCGCATCCATCCATAATAAATTATTCTTCCTTACAAACCCTCGTTTTGTACTTCTAATTCGTGACCGTTGTTTTGTTTTGATCTCTCCCCTGCGCTTCCGCGTTCGTCACTTCTGAGCAGCGCATGCGCAACGCCGACCTCCATACGTCATCTGTCCAGAGCTGCTTCCGTGTACAACAGTGAGCGCAAGCTAGATTAAATTGATTATTAAGTTTTAAATATGGTTATTTTTCTTACAAAAACACATCGATTCGCTACAGGATGCCATTGTTCACTTTTTATTATGGATGGATGCACTTTATTTCACTTCTTTTGGACTGATGCACTGCAACATCCGTTGACTGCCATTAGCTTGGAAGATCAAAGACCATTTTTAATATAACTCCGACTGGATTCGTCTGAAAGATGAAAGTCATATACATCTGTTTTCAATCCTGACTGGGTTAAACATTTAAGTCATTACTCTTTAACTGCCGAACTTTAAAGGCCTGTAAAGCCTCGGGTTTTTCGTATTCCAACCAAAATCACATTTTTATATTTGACCTGCTTTTAGACATTTGTCACATTCAACACTTTACAAAAACACTCATCCACAAATAATGTTTAATAGTAATGACTTTATGAATTTCTTCACTGATAAAATAGATAACATCAGAAATACAATAACAAATGTAGATTCTACAGCGTATAATACTTCAGCTTCATTCATCGCACCAAAAGTTAAACTGCAGTGCTTTGCAACTATAGGACAGGAAGAGCTAAATAAACTTAACACTGCATCTAAACCAACAACGTGTCTGTTAGATCCTGTATCCACTAAATTACTAAAAGAGTTGTTACCTGTAGCAGAAGAACCGCTTCTCAATATTATTAACTCGTCGTTGTCTTTAGGTCACGTCCCAAAACCATTCAAGCTGGCGGTTATTAAGCCTCTTATTAAGAAACCACAACTAGATCCTAGTGAACTGGCAAATTACAGACCCATTTCAAATTTTCCTTTTATGTCTAAAATTTTAGAAAAAGTTGTGTCTGTGCAATTGTGCTCCTTCCTGCAAAAAAAAATATCTTTATGAAGAATTTCAGTAAGGTTTCAGGCCCCACCATTAGCACAGAAACTGCACTTGTTAAAATGACAAATTACTTGCTTCTTGCTCAGACCCAAGGCTGTATCTCATTGCTAGTTTTACTTGATCTTAGTGCTGCATTCAATACTATAGATCATGACATACTCATAGATCAATTACAATCTGGGTGTTATATTAGATAGCAACTTGTCTTTTGAAAATCATATTTCCCATGTTACAAAAACAGCATTCTTCCATTTTAGAAACATTGCCAAGTTACGAAACATGTTACCTGTTTCTGATGCATAAAAGCTAGTTCATGCATTCATGACCTCTAGACTGGACTATTGTAATGCACTGCTAGTTGATTGTCCCGCATCTTCAATAAACAAGCTACATGTAGTCCAAAATGCAGCGGCTAGAGTCCTTACCAGGTCAAGAAAATATGATCATACCCTAATTTTACGGTCTCTGCACTGGCTACCTATTAAGTTCCGTATCAGTTACAAAATATTATTACTTACCTATAAGGCCCTTAATGGGTTGGCTCCTAACTAGTCTTCTACCACACTACAATCCATCACGCTCCCTAAGGTAGCAAAAGTCTGGACTTTTGGTAGTACCTAGGATAACAAAGTCCACTAAATGAGGTAGAGCTTTTTTGCATTTGGCTCCCAAACTCTGGAATAGCCTTCCTGATAACGTTCGGGGTTCAGACACACTTTCTCTGTTTAAATCTAGATTAAAGACACATCTCTTTGGCCAAGCATTCAAATAATGCATCTCATAATCTTGTACTGCAGTTATATCTGATCAAATGTGCATTATTATTCTTTAGCTTGGGTTAAACAAATAATTTTTGCTTGGTTGTCTCTATTTGTTTCTCTGTTTCTGCCACGGGATTGACATCCCGTGGTAACTAGGATTTACACAAGCTTCAGTCTGGATCCAGAACACCTGAGAAGAGATGATGCAACCCCTCAGAGGACCTCAGATGATGCCAACCCTGAAACAACATACAGAACTACCAAACTTTGCTATAAGTTTGATTGCATCATATAATAATTGCTGTTAATAGTGTTCATTGTCTGTTTGATTACGTCTTTAATTGATTTTTCCGTACATTTCTGCCATATGTACATTGACTGACAGTCACCACTGATAAGCTACCACTAAATATTGTAGAAACTTAATTTTGCTGTAAAGTTGCTTTGCAATGATTTGTATCGTGAAAAGCGCTGTACAAATAAATAAACTTGAATTGAACAGCTAGGAGGACTTGAGGGTGAGTAATTAATGGGCTAATTTTCATTTTTGGGTGAACTAACCCTTTAAAAGCAACCAGTTTCTGAGAAGTTCAGAATGATGGTTGAAAATCATCTTTTTTCCACATATTAATTAGTTTTTTGTGCAAAAAACTTAATTAGCATTACAAGTAAACCTCAAAGAACATATTAAAATAATAAAAGAAAATCCATGTCATGACCCCTTTAATTTAAACATTTACATATTTAAACATTATTAAAATATAAATATTAATTAAATAGCCTTCCTGAAGGGGTGGAGACTGGACTGATTTGTATCGTTGAATTTGCATATGTAGTGATCGAGCTCTGCACGCAAGTGTAACGCCAACAAATGTTTACAAACACAAGCTTCTTTCCTGCTTCTGGTTGCTACGCGACACTTTCTGGCCTATCTGCTTCCTCCCTCCGGACTATGGCTCATTTCCGTACGACGGTGCAAAAATAGCCGAGCCCTCTGCACCCGTCCATGTTGTTTCTTCCTCTCTGCGCTCCACGACATCGATCAAGCCTGTTCCTGGGCTTCCTATCTCTTCCTGCGGCTGACAGAAACGAAGAACCAGTCGGCTTTTGGCCTTGTTTGATTTTTACCCGCCGTTTCACCTGTTGAGGCGATGATTTCTTCATAGAAACCTTTCTCTTCTATACTGTGTACTAGACGTGTTCCTTCATGTTCGCTTGAGGGAAACACGACACCCTAAATATACCGTATAAGAATATCTGCCTCAGCACTCCACATTAAATAAGTCCATGGTGGCCTCCTTTGCAATTTCAAGCCTTTATTTTGAATCCGGCTCCTGCCAAGTCTGTCTTGTTGTCTCTAAATGTGTTAGTCCTCGCTTCTGATTAATGTCGCTCTCCTCCGCAAGATGATGTTTGAAACATGGTAATCAAGACATAATCCCCAAATCCCTGTGTGGTCAACATGACCGAATCTGGACTTTCTCATCGGCCTTTTTTCACGAAGCCTCTTGGAAACGAGGGGAGGCATGGAGCGGAGCCATGCCAGGTTCTGCAAACTGTGGCATATGCACTTTTTCCCAAGCCACAGCTCAACCGGTGCAGATTAATTTCCACTTTTGTATTTTTGCAGAAGGAGAAGGTAATAAACTCCAGCGACCGGTTTCAGTATAGACGAAACCATGCAAAATATACACGTCTTTGTTATTGTAAGTGGCAGTGTTTTGCTAAGCAAATTGTCCGTGAAGGTTCTTGATCATCCATCTGATTCATTGTTATTATCTAAATTTAGAATTTGCATTCAAATGACTTCGAAGGAGAAATATACTTTCAAACATTTGCACGACGTTAGCCTTTTTTACAAGGTGCACATCTCCTCTAAGGAAGCTCAAATATCTCTGGTGAACAGAGTTGTTTGCCTTGTTGGTTTGCTCCGCAAATATTTCCTGAGGAAAACAGACCGGTTTAAATTCACTCCAAACTCCTTTTCCCGTAAAACTCAACTTGAGCCGACAATAAAAAAATCTCAAGCTGAATTTTAGTATGACACTACAG